CCTCTTTTTTTATTTTCCTTTTTTCGCGTCGCCACAAAGTTTTCATCGAACAATTCACACCGATCGCCTAATTATTCAATTAACTTCGAACGCGCGATTACAATCGGCGAGACAATCCCGATTGTGTCGATCATTTTGAGGCTTTTCCGCGTTTTTCCTGCCTCGTATTTTTCTGGCTATTAGTGGCGTGCTAATTAGTCGATACACACGAAATATACGTTACAATCATGCGAAAACGCAAACAGACGCAAGATACACAGAATTGTTGCCAACATGACGGAAACATCAATCGGCACGATTTTTCACGTGTAAAAATTTTCCCACCCTTGTTTGCTCTTCTTTCGATTTTCAATTCTTCATCAAATTCTCTGCTTCTTCTCGACGAAGAAGAAATCGAATCTGTACGAGATTCCTCTTCGTTTATTTCCGTTTATCGATCAATTATAATAAATTATAATCTCCTTTCATCGATCAACTTTATAATTCGGTTTTCGTGGTTGTTTAATCAGAATATTTCTGCTAAAATATATCAATGAAATATATGATCGATATTGCTTAATTCCAATCAAAAAACGAATGGTTAGATTCTCCAAGACTCTTTCTTTATATACTTATTTATTTATATCAAGATATGTTCAAAAGAAATTTTGTATACAGCGTTAGAAACGCTTTCAATCAAAATCGATTTCTTTTTTTATACTTTTTTCGCAACTTGGCGATTATCTTTATTCAACGCATCGTTTTAAACGCATTGAAAAAGGGAAAATTCTCAATATTTATCAATCTCACAGAGCAGACATTACAGGCAACAAATTTCTACGCTAAAAATTCAATTGTCAACGCCTTTTAAATAACTTTTTAAATATAATAAAATTATCAGAAAAAAAACAAGTCCAAAATTAATTCGTAAAAATTATATTGCACTCCTGCTAAGAGATTCATCTTGACAAATTCCCCATTGTATCTCTGGGATAATAATTCTACCACAAAAATATCTGCAAAATCTAACTGCAGCCTCGAATAATCCAACAACAATCGAGAGAACGCGTTTCCTTTCTCATCGATGGCGACCGATTTTCGCGAGTTTGCCAACGATATCCTGGTCGAGTTTCGGCTCGCGTGATTGCAGCTGCTGCGTCCGAGGAGGAAAGGTTCGAAGGATTCCCGGGATACAGGGCGGGCCACGGCATCGATCTCTTCAACAGCCAGACGGACACCGGTTCCAATTACCGCCGCTTCGAATTGGCTGTGTTTCTCCGGCCAACTAGAGGAATCTGTTGGCGATCAAGGCTGAGGAGTTCAACCCGCGTTCGTCCCCTCCCACGACTTGCCACGATTGATATTCCTCCTCTCTCCTCCTTATCGAGGGACCTGTCCCCTCGCGAAGAATCTTCGGAGTTTGTTTGGCGGAAGGGTTTTTCTCGACACTCGTAACGATCATTTTAATTGGACGATGGATGCCGCGCGACGCTTGGAGAACCAATTAAGGGGAAAAATTATGCGGGGAGAGGCTGTGGAGAGAATCAAACGTTAATTGGACTTGGAAGGAATTATTAGGAATACCTCTGCCGATCGATATTGTTTGGTGAACTTGATGGATGCTTTATGAGAATTCTCTTGACACGCGGGAAGAGAAGAGGAAAGTTTTAAGCAATATCGAATAAGCGTTTATCGAAATAAATAGGCAAAAATGATTGTTTCTGAACGCTCTTGCTTTTCAAGAACATCCTTTAAGTCTTAACGACTTTAATGGAAAAAACTATTTTGCATAGATATATATTTAAGGCGTGGAACGACGTAAAGAAGACGACTTTATTTAGGCAGATCGATCGGTGTCGTCGATTCGACACCGGTATGCCACTCATACCTCCCTCATAACGTGAGCCACCCGTTCCAAAACTGCGGGAATATCAATGGAGGCAATCCACCGTGGTTGGATAGAGAGAGCCGTGTCTCGGCAACATCCTCCGTCTCCAACCATCCCGAATGAATTTATACAGCGACCTTATCTCGGGAGCGGAATTTTCAATGGGACCTGTACTCTTATTGGCGTTGATATATTCGGGAAACTTTTATTCCGGCTCGTAAATTATCGTAATATTGCTTCCAGAGTTCTGCTTCGAGTCAGATTTTTCTTCGGGAATCGCGTTTAAGAGATCGATTTATCAATAACGGAACCTCCCCCTCATCGTTATTCTCGAAATTAATTCAAGATAATTCGATATTTATCGAGAAATAATTCGAGAATTCTTTTCGTTATTTAGTTTATGAGGTTTTTCGTTTTTGATTTATGGAATATTCGAATATTTGGCAGTCAGAAAATTAATAAGTTCCAAGTCAGTTTTCCACGAAAAGAATCGCTTTTTTAAAAGCTGTTTCTTCAAATGACTCAAAATCATTTTTAAAAATTAGAATAATTAGAAACGTTCAAGATATTATATATTAATTCTGATGTTAGTATAATCATCTCGATTATCGTATTCAGAAATGACGAAATCATGAGAATTCTAAAAAAATATAAAAGATATAAATAATAAAGAGAAAAGAACTTGATAAAAATCTAAATTTAGATTTCGTTTATTTCAAACGTTTCGAATAATCCGTTTCTTAATCCCACGATCTTTTCAGTTTCGAGTGGTTTCTTTGCGATCTCTAGTTTCATGGGAGTTCCTTTAACAACAGTTTCGAAATGAGAAGAGGAATCAAAGCTAGTTCATTAAACAGATTTAGCCGGTGAAATGATTTTCACGTATGATTTTGCTATCGTATTTTAACCACATCACGTGTCTCGATCTCGATCTTGTTGTATCTTGGCGTTTTTCTGCCTCGACGGAGAAATATCGATAGCGAAAGTGAGAAGTTTTTACGGGTCGACGACTTTTCGCGAAATTACTCGACCGTTTAAAATTTCTCACTCGTTTTGCTCGAATTTTCTTCTTTACTTTCTTTGGGAAAGTCGATCGATTCGATAAGTTGTTTATCGCCTCGTAATTCCTTTCATTGCTATAATATTCCGCACAATTCTTTAAATCCTTCAACCGAAATGCTCGATATTTTGTTCGAGTTTTATTAACAAGAAATTGACTTTTGTAAATTTTTATCGCTTCATTGAACGAGTCGAATCTCTACATTCGTCACGAAAGCCACGATATTTGAGAGTTTCAAAAAGTTTAACGAACATGTTAAAAGTAATTTCAATTTCAATTCGATAGAAAATTCATTATATATTCAACACATAGATATACTATATTTAACGCAGAATAATTACAAGACGATGCAATTTGATTTATACAAAATAAATTAGACCACGGTTGTTTAATGCAAAATCAAATTGTTGTGATGTAATTAAATTAAAAATCGATAATTCGTCTCGTATTCGAGTGGGGTTCAACCAATTGAACACGTTTTCAGGAAGGAAACCGGATTCTACCGCTAAAACAGTGGCGGAAGAATTCTCTTTACGCCACTTAAAGGTGGGTCGAACGGTCGGGGAGAGAGGGTGGTGTAGCACCCATTGTAACGAAGATTTCGAGGGTGGCGATTAAAGGGGGCGGTTAGGAAGGAAGGAAGGAAGGAAGGAACAGAAGGAACGGAAAGATGTCGGCCGGGTCGTTTGTCTTAATAAAGTGCGTCGAAGGCATGCTCTTCGCTACGGCTGACTTATGGCCAGTCATCCGAGTAGGCTGCACCCCTCTTAAGACCCGTTTCAGTGGTTTTTCGCAGGGAGGAGAGGCCAGTGTTCCGACGATATTCAAGGAGGGTTGCTCGAGTCCCGGGGTCGTTAACCCTGACTACCGACTCCATCAATCGAACGAGGGTGGCTGGTTAACGATGCCAAACATTCGTCATCGGGTGGATCCTTCCTACTACCCGCCTCGTTTCATCCTTCTTTCAACTCCTCTATCTTGGTCCCTTGGCTGGAATGGTTTTCTCTTCGATGGATAACCTCCACGGGTAAAACGGGTATCCAACCTTGGATATTCATCGCCGATTAAAACGGGCATTAAATCAGCAATGAACGGAAAAAAAAGAAAAATTCTTCGATTTAAATTTCGTTTCTTAATATTACTTTTATTTTATTCGTTGGACGTGTATAATAAAAATATATAGGGATTGTAGGTACTCGATTTAATATTTTTAATTTTAAAAAAAAGGATTAGAGATAATCCTAATGTGTTTATTATATTCATACGATTAATCAAACGGTTATTAATCATCAATATCATTTCAATAAAGAAAAGATAAAAGATCGTTTACACGGGAGAGGAAAATTTCCTTATTTTACGGCGATTATATTTTATTCATCCTCCTCTCCTAATCTCGCTTCTTTCGACGGGCCGCCACTCGAGTCTCATAAATTCCAGCATCGTACCGCAAAACCAAACAGCCGTTTATTTGCATAAATAAACAATTATTCTCGACGATTATTTTTAAGTGGTGGGATAAATATCGGCCGATAAATATTCAAGATTCTCCATTAAAAGTCCTTCCTTTTTGCTCCTTTTTGCCACTCCCAATCCCAATGATTTATCATTTGCCTTCCCGACAACCTCGACTTCCGGATCGACCGTGCAAACAATTCTTTTATCTCTCCCCGTCTAAATTCTTTTACCAATGGGTCGCGCGAGGAATCGCAAACTCCCCTTCCCGCGTTAACAGAGAGAGCCTAAGGGGACTCGCGTTAAATTTAACGCAACATATGAGCATAAGTTTGTCACTCGGCTAAAGCTAGCACTCTAAACTAGCTATAAACAAACCCCCTCTACTCTTCTCTCGGTGAACTTCCAACTCGACGCTACGTTTCTCCATTCTCCCTTAAGAAGCGACACGTCGTCGTGCGGGTACATAAACCTCCGAAATCACCGGTTGGCCACCCTCCACCATTTGTCCGTATTCCCAGGATCTTTAACTTCCAACCATAACACCAGTATTCACTTACTCGTGCAAATCCCCTTAAGGATAATTTTGTCAACAAAATATATATTTTTTTTCTTTCGCAGAGACGTCCTTGGTGTTGCCATCCGCCTCCTCCGATCTCGATAAGATACAGCAACCGGTCAAGATCGTCCTCTCGAGCACTTGCCATCATGCTTACAATGCTTGCAAGTGAGCGATGATTTATTTGTCATTTTATCTAATTATAATGTAATTTATCCAGTGAGAGCCAGAAATGAGTATAAAGTTTTGGAAAAATTATATTTATTTAATATAAATATGTGTAGATATGTTATGTACAATCTCAAATTTTGATATCATTATTAAATTTGTAATGTTAAACACAAACAACATGAATTCTTTATATTCATTGGACTCGTATTGCTTATCATTTATTTGTTAATATATTGTCTATATAGAAATGATTTAATTACAGTATAATCTATCCAGTGAGAGCCAGAAATGAATATAAATAGATGTAGATATATTTTATATAATTTCATATTTTGATTTTTCCATTATTAAATTTTTAATTAAACATAAATAACATGAATTCTTTCATATTCATGGACTCATATTGCTTATCATTTATTTGTTAATATACTGTCTATATAGAAATGATTTAATTATAGTATAATCTGTCCAGTCAGAATCAGAAATGAGTATAAATAGATTTAGATATATTTTATATAATCTCAAATTTTGATACCATTATTAAATTTAATGAACACAAACAACATGAATTCTTTATATTCATCGTATTGTTTATCATTTATTTGTTAATATACTGTCTATATAGAAATGATTTAATTATAGTATAATCTATCCAGTCAGAATCAGAAATGAATATAAATAGATGTAAATATATTGTATATAATCTCTTATATTAAATTTTGATACTTTTATTAAATTTGTAATGTTGAACACAAACAATATGAATTCTTTAAATTCATTGGACTCGAGTGGTATTTCGTATTCGAATTAATTTCCAATGATTGATTTCGAAATCGCCAAAGTTTCCGATGATTAATGCATAACCTTCCCCTAACCACCTTTCTTCTCTCGTTCCAGAAACGATCCAGAGTGCAAGGTGCTTCTCGAGCCGGTGTTGAACCATTGCGACTCGACGAGTTGCGCGAAGAACGAGTGCATGGAAGCGTTGCAAAACTTCTACAAATCCGCCAACTATAAACACTCCGTCGAGATCGCGTTCTGCCTGTGCAGGTGAGACATAAACAGATAACAAATATAAAAAAAAAAAAAAATTCGCAATCTTTCCCTATCCGATCGCTCGATTGTCATCGAGACAACGAAATAGAATAAAAAAAAATTCTATAAATCCACGACACGCATAGTGGAAAATCGTTTTTTCGCTCGCACCCAAGGCTTTTCTCTCACCCAAGAGAGAATTTTTGCAACGTATTCGACCAATCCGAGTCGAGATTTTTATTTTTATTGTCGAATGAAATACGGGGAGGGAGAGCAAGAAAGGCTTTCGTTCCAAATACGATAATATAATATCATCGCGAATTGATCGGTGAAAACAATTAATGGTAATATCAGACGCCATGAATTCCTCCGATATAATTAATTTCGCGCGTGATTAACGAAAGGAGATCGAACGATCGCCTTCGTTAAATACCAATCAAAAGATATTTCCTGGTCACTCGATTCCAACTTAACTTAAACGATGAAACGATTGCCGTTTCTCATCGCACGAGCGCGTCGTCCTTAAACCGAGAGAAATCGGGATAAAGCGGAATACGTGGAATTTCAAACGATTATTCGAACACGGGGGGAGAGGAAGGGATGGAAGGTCTCTCTGGAAACACGAGAGCTCGGGATTCGACTCAATTAAAGCCGCTCGTCTTTGTACGTTTCCCGTAATCCTGAGTAAACTCGCGGCAAAAGTGATAGGGAAAAGACAAAGGGGTGAGACAGAGAGAGAGAGAGAGAGGGAGGGAGAGCGCGCACCCCTCTCACAAAGAACCGTCGTTGCGCCGGAAATACTCCGAGTTCTGCATCTCTAATCCCTTCGCGCGAGCCAAGCAACCAGCCGAGACTTCTTTTTCGAAGGAAGCTCCTTTAACTTTTAAGTGGCTTTTGCCCGCGAAACAATGCAGAAACTTTCTATCCGTCTTTCACATTTCCTCGGCCATCCCTCCCTTCCACCCCTCATCTTCTCCGCCAACTTTTTCCTCGTACGACTCTCTCTCTCTCTTTCTCCTCTCTTCGTGCTCATTGTCCCGAGAAATCCCGTTCCTCTTCCTTTGTCCCGCCGCCCCGCCACGGGATATCGGTATCATCTCGGAATTTATTAATATTGGATGAGTCCTGTTGCAGCCAGCCTTGCCCCCTTTGACAAATTGGAAACTCGTATTCTCAGGTCGGGTTCAACGACTGTTGGCTTTTAACGACTGTTTAAGACGCGATCATTCATTCAGCAGTGTGGGGAACGTTTGCTTCTAGAGCCGCCCTCGTGTAAAATTCACGGGGTTTTTTTGAACGAGGGGGGCAAGGATTTCGTTTGATTCGAGTTTCGACTAATTAAATGGATAGGAATTAGTTGGAAAAACGCTTCTTTATTACGTTCGATAAAGGGATGTCGATGGAAAGACGACAGTCTGTCTCGTTTAATCGAGCTATCTCGTTAAAATTCGAATCCTCGAGACGAAGGAAATTTTTCTGTCTCCGTTGACGGATCGAATCCGTTTCTTTTTATTCTCACGAGTGATCGGTAATCTTTTTCTCGCTCGAGAATCGAGATCCAAGAGATTGCGTGGGGTAAAAAATAATAACAATGGATTTTTCGTTCTTTTGTAGGAAAACGGATGGAAAGAAGGACGAGTGTATAATCGCGCAGGAAAAAATGCATCCTGCCTGCGCGCAGCGAGTGGAGGGCGCGGAAATGCCGACCTGTCACAGTTTGGCGGAAGCTTGCAAGGAGCACGAAGCATGCAAGTATGTCAGGAATGTAGAGACGTTCTAATTAATCATTCCAACAGTTTAGAGCCAAGATGGTCTCGAAAAAATGGCCAAGATTGGATCGAAAACTTGAAAAGTTTTCTTTTTTTACTTGCGATTCGAAACCCTTCCAAGAGAAACTTTTGAAAAGAAAAAAATAAGTATTCTGAGTTTCAAGAGTTCCAACTTTTACAAATCCAAAAAATTAAATCTTAATCCATTTCTGTTTAAAAATCTATTTAACTTGAATCGTAAAATGAATCTCTTTACTCTCTCGATGAATTAATGATAATTTCGTGGTTCGAAAGGGGAAAAGCGATTTTACTCGATCGCTTATCGCGCGCGACAACTACGACTAGATTATATCTGAATAAATCTTTTGATTAAACGTCCTTCTTCTTCTTTTTTTCTTTTTCTTTTTCTTTTTCTGTCGCCTTGGCCATAGAGAAGTGCTCGTTTCAATTTGAAAGTTAAATTGCGAGTCAACGAGACGTGGCTTGATCCAGTCTTGCCTTAGTAATGAAACACTTCATTACTAAGAAAAAGGCGTTGGCCCGGCCGCCCGCGTTGAAATTTCGAATAACATTTCGGATCCCGGATCGCTCGAACGATCCATATCATCAACCGGTAGAAATTCAAAGGCGAGATCGGTTGAAAAGGCTGAATCTATTTATCGGCAATCTATTAGCGGGGTCTAATTAAAATCGGGCCGATTGATTAACTCGATTGAAAATTTCGAATTGAAAAGGAATAGCGCGCCTCTCTGGGAACGTTTATGAGAATGAAAATATTGGGGCGCATCGGTGTTGTCGATTGCGTTTGCGATACGATTGAATTACGTATCGCGGCATTTCAATCGATCTATCATCACCACTACCACTTGAATTTTTAACACATTGAATATTCTTTTTCGTTGTAATTTTTACAACGAGAACCCTGTTTAAAGGACAATAATCGTAATCGAACGATAAATCACGAAGTATTATCCATTCTGCACTCGTGTCCATTGCTCGAATAATTCATTATACGACCCGTCACTTATCATGATTATCGCGTGTGGAGGATAAGGGAACAAGGGAAATCTCGACCGAATCTATAATTAGACTTATATAACCCGTGAATGAACTCACTTTAATTATCGCATTTTAATTATCGCGATCGAAGCACCGCCGATAAACATAAAAATTAATCATCATCGAAAATCCTCGATCGTCGACGATTCTTCAAGAAGAATCTCGAACGAGTCTTTTTTTTTTAAACAATTAAATTCTCCCACGAGAAATAAATTTTCGATCAATTGCGGAGACAGAGATAATTCGTACGATTTTCATTTCAAATTGAAATTTCTAAGCGCTGGTTTCCTTTCTTTACCTTCGTCTCTCTGTCGAATATTCAGAGACGGTCGGTTTTTATATTAGACTTTTAACACTCGCTAACGAGTAATTCCACGTGCTCAACCCAATTACTGTGCTGCTTAGGGCGAAATTGGAGTACTACGAGCAAAATTGCGCCGTGGATAGTGTGACAAAGAAGTGTGCTGGTCCAACTGCGGAATGCAGGAAAGCGATGCTGGGTATCCTTGGCACGGAATTGCGGTCGAACTGCGCGTGCAAGGGGACGGAGCTCACGCAACTTTACGACTGTCTGGGATGGCAGAGGCTCCTCTGGGTCAATCCTTGCGTGGGTGAGCGTAATTTTCAATTCTTTTCCCCTCCCCGTTAAAATTAATTCGTAATACAACAAATTTCCATCTCCTTTTTCACAATATTTATAACTCACTTCAAATCACGATGATAAATTTATTTTATTATACTATATTATATATTATACTATATTATATTATATATTAATCTGAGTGAGAGTATCGTCAATATTTGAAGAAGATGCTCACGTGGAAATAGAATGATTCGTCTCGGATACGATTCATCACGGTTGGATATAAATGTAATACCTTCGAATAAGGCCAACGTGATGATCATTCAGAAAGAAGTTTCGAGCAGGAACCCGTGTATTACCCGCGATAAAATTATTAAGACTAAGATTAAATATTTTGCTCGAGAAGAATAGCGAAGCATTCGGGACAATACGATGTCCAAGCATCATCGTACGGTGATTAATATCTGGAACGATTAATATCTCCGCGATGACAGAGCCGATTCCTTCTCTCTACTTCTACTCTTCTCTCATTTCTATCGTCCACCCTTGTTTCAGATTGTAACATGTAATTCGCCCGTTTATCGGAAAATGTGACGAACAGTCGCAACCGATTCTTACCCTATTTACTCGTACTCGTAAAATCTTCGATTACTTATAATTTTTATATCTCTGCTACATAATTTTCTTGCTTTGTCGTTTGTTAAAAAATAACTTTTAACGAGGTTAATTTAACGTTGTGTCTTCTTACAAGAAAAAAAAAAAAGAAAGGCTTTTAATATCGTGAAAGAGGATTGACAAAGGAATTTCGAATTTTTCGCAAGAGAACGAAACGACACAGAATGGAAATGGTAAAACTTATCCATGGTTAGAGGCGTTCACGATCTACAGCGGTCTTTGAACGATCATCGAGATTCGAATTGCTATTGCGCCCCAGATCGAAAGAAGGGGCGAAACGAGGGCCTTTTATCGATGTTACATCTGTTACCTCGTAGTCGTGTAGCAGAACCTGATGATGGCCGGCATTCAGCCGGCAGATAAGTCATTTAGATATGAAGAAATTGCACTCGGCCGAGAATGCATCCAATGCCTCGTGTGTTAACCGCATCGATCGTCGCCTCGATCGTCTTTCGTCGATCTCTGATAAGGAATGTAGGTCGAACAGGGGGGGGGAGGTAATTCGACGCCCTCCTTTCGCTGGATGCAAACGGGCTGGATTGATGCAAATTAACCTGGACCAACGAAAATCGCGTGGAATTTATTTACAAAATTTAAACATTTACGTGTGTCTCTCCAAATCTTTCGATTCCATTTTTCCTTCTTCTTTTCTTTTCGTCGCGAAAAGAGTTGAAAGAAGCAGAAGAAAATTCACGTTTCGCGAAGAAATTTCAAAACGATCGATCGAGATAGAATTGTTGGTCGATGATTTCCAGTCGAGTCCCAGAAGGATTACCACGCGAGGAGGAAACACCATCATTACCCGAGGACAACGACGACTACCGTCTTGTCAACGACCAAGTCGCCATCGGTTAGCACAACGACGGTCACAACCGTGGTCGAGCAAGTAGAGGATAATCAAATACCGGAAGTGACGAGGTGGACAACCACCGAACCCACGGAAACTTGGGAAATCACCACCACTAGCAGCACCACCATTAGTACCACACCCACCACCACCACCACCACCACTACGCCGCCTCGTAAGTATACACACGCGTTTCCTTCCCACACACATATATATATATATATATATATAAACCAGTCTCCTCTCTCTATCTCCAAAAACTCGAACAACGTCTCCTTTCGAACAATTTGGAATTTACTTGAGGGTGAATAAGAAATCCCAAAATCTGGGTGGAAGGAAATGGATATTGAAAATGGGACTCCTCGAATGGGGGGAGGAACGCGTGGGTGGTGGATGCGTGCAAATGTGTTGTGGAAAATGTGGAACTTCTTTGATCCGTTTGAACCGGGCGGAGAAAAGAGGGATTCCGTTCACAGGACACACACACACACACACACACACACGACGAGGAATTTTCGTTTCGCCCCGTTTGGCGTGCGTCGAACGTTACAAAGCGAGGCACGGTGATGGCGGGTGGGTGGTGGTTTGAAACACCAGAGGTAAAAAGAAAAGATTCGAAACTATGGAGGAATGAGGGTGGCGACGGTTTTAGGGTGGGTCGAGGGAGGGGTGGGGGAGAGCGAGAAAAGGAGACGGGGAAAACAGTTTGCCAGGAAACGTTGTACCTGTCTGAAACGCGTGTCTCTTTATAGGCTTCTGTGTGGTTCAAAGGCCGAGGCAGAGTCACCAATACATAAGGGAGGGCGAAGGAAAGAGGGTGAGTTTCGACAATCTGTATTTTCGCGTCCGATCGGGCGAAAAGCTACGATTCGGGAAACGGATCGGGGAGAACGTTCAGGAAGATGTAGGGAATGAAAGATTGAAAATTAAGTTGAATCAATCGTTATTTTTTAAATTGGGTTTATTGAAGAGAAAGATCAGGAGTTTTCGATTTTCTAGCGATTCGAAGCGATTTAGTTTAAATTTTAATAGAATTTTAATAGAGTTTGATCGAGTTTTACTATTACTTTTGATTAATGGGATGCCGAAGAATCGATTTAAAACTTATCTCTAAAGTCTTTTGCTTAAAAAATATAGTTTTAGTATAGCTTTATAAAATATGTTATACGTTACATTGGGATACAATATCAAATGCTATTTTTTTTCCTCCGTTTTTTTTCCTCTCTCTCTCGTTGAAATTTATGTAAAATATATCGAATAGAGTATAGTAAATAATTCAAAAATATCCTTTTGTTAATTCGTTAAACAATTTCCGTACGTTTATATTGCTTTTTTTGTTCACCTTTGATACCATTTATTAAAATCAAACATTGTTAAAAAAATATCCATTGTGCGGTTTCACTGGTTTTAATCGCGTACGCGGTGTAACGCGTACAGGATTTCAGAGAGTTTGGTTCTCTCGGAACGCTTAGCGGCAAAGCCTTTTAATTGGTGCAAAAATAAAAGAAACACGGTCGAAAATAATAAACAAGCTTTTAATGCCGTTTCGCGCGATGAAAAAAAATTGCGAATCCAGGGAAGTTCATTATCTCGCCGATCGATGTGCGTGAATTAACAACAACGTCGAATCGGGGAGTGAAAAGTTTAATTCGAAGTGGCACGATTAACGTCGGCGATAATTAACATTCAGTGTACATGTTTTTGAAGCTGGGTCATTCATCTTTAAAACGGGTACGCCGTGTATCCCGATTATCGTGTTCCATTACAATTATCAATTTCAAAATAACAAGTAAAATTACCGGATTTAATATCTGGAAAATCCTTATCCTAAATTTTCTCTTCGTCGAAATTTTGAAAATTATTCATATAATTCATATATATATATATACATATAAAAATAAGAAGAAAGAAATCATTTCAATCATTCGTTATTAGTAAATTCCTTAATATTTCGAAACACATCTTCCTGGACTTTGATCCTTTTCATCTTGAAAAAAGAAAAAACGAGTCGTAGAGCCAAATCGTCAGGATCGAGTGAAAAAGATTTAAATCCGAGCTTATGCACTTTATACTCTGAAACCAATCCGTATATGCTCGATTCGTATGTAGCTGTATCGCGAGGATGAACCAGAATGTTCCGAGTTGTGCCAATGCGGCGAGGGTGAAGTTTTGATCTGCAACACGATCTGCGTGGATTCATCGCCCTGCAAGACGGACTTCGCCTTCTACAATCACGAAGCACCGGCGTATCAGGCGCATCGCGGACCCTGCCTTTGCTATAGCGGTCGTTTCATATGCATGCGGCCATCACCCGGTGAATATACTATCCTTATATCGTTCGAACAGATTCACATCCCAATTAAATTAGAATATTTAACATCAATTCTTTCATTGACGAGATAACTACATAATTTCACGTATAATAATCACGTATATAATACACTATCTAGTAATTAATTCTCCCTTACAACTTTTAGGCTTTTTATAATAATCTTCTCGAATTGTCTCCGCAGACGCTTACTCTATACCGCACGGAGTTTTCATGTTCCTGGGCTACAGCGAAAAGGACGAGAGTTTGCTGCGACGGCACAATAATCTCACCGTCCTCGACGCGGTGTCGTCCCTCGATAACTTCATGAGAGAAGAAGTTAACAATCAGGTAAAACGTCTTACTCTTACTTCACCATATATATATATATACACGATCCGATATTTTCAATCAATCCGCCATCTCTCTTCTCGAATCGAAATTTCGCGACACGTTTCACAAACTCGAAAGAAGATTTGTTTCGATCCGGCTCCAGGAATTGAACGTTGGATCGAACGAATTTTAAGCCGGCTGCGTTCCCTCGGAGGGCCGTCAAGTATTCACGCGAGGGGGGGGACGAGAAAAATCTCGAGAGGCGAGAGAAGAGAGACGGATCGGAAATATAAAGGAAACACCAGGTCTCGCTCGCCAGGCGAAACTTAATAATGCGAGATAGCGTTGGAGATGACGTCAAGACATATATATATATATATACGATATTTCTTCTTTCCTTTCTTTTTTTTTTTTTTTTTTTTTTTTTTTTTTTTTTTTTTTTTTTCACATTTTATTTGCAGACAGTGTGCACGCTGTTCCTGTACAACGCGACCCGAGAGAACGTGATTGCAGTGGCGCGTCTCGGGACTGACAATCCACCCTTAAATAGCAGCCAAGCTCAAAGTCTGCAGCACCTTCTGCGCGTCAAGGTGAGTAAATTGCAAATAGAAACGACTCTCCCGGTTCTCGTGAACTCTCGCATCTCATTCTGATCTTATTTCCCGGCCAACTCAACCCGGCCCACCGGACCTAACGGTAACTTTATTACAGCCCCTGGCTTTTCAATCCGCACCCCCCCCCCCCATTTTATTTGGCCACTCGTCAACCGTTTTATACGTAACGCGTTATTGAATTAGCCGCGAGGCACGGCTCGGCGTAGACCGACAATTTTATCATTCGAACTTCGAAACCGCCCCACCCTCGAGTCTCTCCCGACATTTTATCATTTTGTCTCTTCCCGGACAAAACTTATCGGGCTATATTCGATTGAAAGTTGTTGGACTCCGTAGTAAGTCGGAAAATAATGATTTGACTGAAAGAATGATTTCTTGTTTCCAGTATTTTTGAATCAGGATAATAATTAATATAGCCACTAAAGGAATTAAAAATAACGAAGATAACCGCCAATAAGCAATTAATCTTTTACATTTTTTCAAATAATATTTGCACAAGGAAGGAAATTTGATACAAAGAGTGGATAATATAACCTTAATTAAAATTTCATTGGCGAAAACGATGTTCAAGTTCACGGTTGGTTATCGGTGCGTGAAAAAAGGGCAGAGAAAAGGTAGAGGGAAAAAGAAAGAAGAAAAGGAAGGGGGAAATGGTGGACAACGAGACGAAAGGCTCGCGTGCCCGGCGTCGATTCGACTCGCGACGAAAGGGCCGGTTTCGTGTTTACGCGGCGGTGTGCGTGCCACGCGCAGGAAGTGCGTGCTGTATATCCAAAGGGGCGATATCAAACTTTACAGAACTTTTCATTTCTCTCGCTCGCGCCCTCCCTTGTCCACCGTTCTTTCGGCCGATCCGCTCGTAAACCCCGAGATCTCTCGAGGGGAGGAAAGCCAGCCAGACTGTCGGCCACCCCTCTCGTCGAGTGATTATCGCGATTAATTAACCGGTACGCCATCCTTAATTTCCCCAAAAATTATCCAACAATCCCCTCTTTCGTATCTGATTTCCCGACTCGTTGATTTTCCATCCCCTTTCGATTTCTTCGACTTCCTACGAGGAATTTTTTCGTCGAAGAGAGGGTGTTTTATTTTTTATTTTATTTTTTATTTTATTTTATTCTTCTTCTCTTCTTTTTTTTCCTCCTTCTAATTTCAAGAATATAAGGTTGAATTTTTTACAGTAGAACGGAATTAAAAGTTAGTACTTTTGATTGAAGGGAAAGAAGATGAAATTTTTCAAATTGACAGCGTTGGGGGATTATAATCGAACAAGCGATGCTAATTACGTACGCGAGATTCGTTGCAACATTTTCTCTCTGGTAGCCTGGGTTTTTTTCTATCACTGGAGGGCGTGCATTGAAAAGGCAATTAAAGCGCGACACGATTTCGTTAGGCGGTCTCGCGACCACTTATCGCGGTCGAGTAGTCGCGAAATTTCGCGGAGACCGCGGAGTGCGCGCTCACTTTTTCTCGATCGATAAATTGTTGGCCGAATAACGACAGGAGATCGTAAATAAGCCGATCGAATGGAGGATAACGAGCCAATAAGTGAAAAATTGGTAAATTTTTCTCTCTCGTCTACCTCTTTGTCAAAGTTTTTAGAGAGAAATCTAACCAACGACAATTTATATCCAACAACGGATCTCTTACGTAAAATTAACAATATCGCCAATATGATTTGATAGAATAGACTTTACAATTTTATAGAATAGACTTTAGATCATTATTCCAAAACAAAGTGATATTGAATCATTGTTGAAATTTTTTTGATTTCTGCCTACTTCTAATAATCACTATACATATAAAGTGTCTCTTGGACCAATTAATGGCGATAAATTTATAAATGAGATTACAGTTATGATGATCGATCGTGCTTACAATAAAAAGTCCTTCATCATTCACGAAAGGTTGTACGCCGAATCGTATTCGTTCACGCGCATCAAATCGTTCACCGAATCAACTCGGACGCGTGTTTATCTCTCGCCCAGTCCCATTTTTTTCCCCGGGCCGTGCTATTTTTCAACGAAAATTCGCATAACGTTAAACGGGGAGGAGGCATCCTCCCCCTCCTCCCTTGTTCCTCTCCCCCGTACCGATAGAGGCCGAACGCCGAGCATTTTGCGTCGGTCATACGAGCTCCCGCGGCGATTTCCAATTTGCGATTAAGCGCCGCTCGATTTGCAATTTGATGGAGGGATCGCGGATTTGAATTGGCGCGCTCTGCACAATCCACTCCCCTATTTTTCTCCCCTTTGTCTCCCTCGCGTTCTCCCTTCAACGTTCTAAACGCCGTCCATTTCCAAGTGGTGTTCGAAACAGTTAGTTAAAGCGAGAATTGAAACTCCTTGACAGGCGGTATTCTTTTCATAATCGATGAAGAGTGATTCTTAAAAAGTAATTTTTCCTCGCAACAAGGGGATTCGTTATGTTAAGAATTTTCTTTGGACAGATCGCGTTGATGGATGTTATTCCCCCCAAAAGTGACTTTCTACCTCGGTTGAGAAATATTTCGTAGAATTCTCTAAAGAAAATTCGTACACGCGTGGAAAAGAAAATATTGGATTCGTAAAAGTTTTTTCGGGAGAATTTCGCCGCCGCGATCCATCGGGCGCATCGCGAGAAAACGCAATTTGCATGCCGCGGTCCAACGTTTCCCGATTTCCACTCCATTATTCCCGCCCGTTTCGACCGCCGGCTGTGCGGAATTCGTGTCATCGATAAATAATAGCCGATAGATCGCGTAAACGCGACGAATCCCGCGATCGAGCGGCCGCGAAACAAGCCGTGGAGAAACGCAATAAACTCGAAAAGCGATAGATAGAGGATCCGAGATTGAAAGAAAAGTGGTTAACGATGTCGAACTGGAACTTGGAGGAGGAATTTTCGCCGCCGTGAAAGTGAAATGGAATCAAGCAGGGTGGATGGAGGGGGGTAGAAATGCGTTTGAAGAGACTTTCTCCCAATTTCGACGGGGATCGAGCCGATTTCCTAGGCTCTAGTAGTAGCGCGAGCCGGAAATTGGAGGGACGTATTTTGGCCACGCGTTGGGAAGGGTCTATTTCCTGGAGGATAACCGATAGGAGAGAAATCAGGGGTCGGGGAGGGGGTGGGTCTCGGTTTCTTTCTAACTCGTAATTGGACGAGCGTTCGGGCAGGCGAGATCGCAAAAAGGGACCGAAACGAGTTCCAATTGAATTCGCGATATATCGGCTCCAATGATCCGTTTTAATCAAATAGCTTGGCTTGGATATCGCGTTATTGTTCAGGCTGAAAACGCGTCGACTCTGCACGCATTTCACTGCGTGCACGTTCTTTTTTCTATTCTTTTTTATTGAATTCGCAGAACGTGCTTCTCCTATTCGATTCCCGAATTCTATCGAATTCGAAAGAATTCCACGGTTTATTTGTTTCCGTGAAAAAAGAAAGGAAAAAAAAAGAGAGAGAGAGAAATTATCTCTCCGCGCGCAAAGGGTGTTACAAGTTGCAAAGTTAAAGGGCGCGACCTTTTAGGGTTACTATAATTAGTTGGAGAACATCAGATCGGGTCCAGAAAATAGGTGGTACATTCGTGACGATTCGACCGATGCCCGTTTCGAAATCTTTAATTAAAGGTTGGCTGTGGCTGGCCTCGTGCCAAATACGCGCGATTAAAAAAAGAAGAGAAAGAAAAAAAAAAAAGCGGATATCGCCGACGGCGATTTTTAATGTTTTTCCTCTAAGCGTCCTCTACGTGCCGCGAATTCCCCTCGCCCGATCCTCGACGGAACGAAATTGTTCGGGGAGCGTAAAAACTGGCAGACGCACCAATCACGAGGCCACCTCGAACTGGTCCCGGCCACGAAAACTTTTTATCATCTCCGATGGCCGGCTTCCAAGTTTTTACACGGTAGCCGAGCGACGCACTCGATGAGAGAGATTTCCTCCAAGTAAAATTCCTCCCGATTTTCCACCATTCACTCTCTCTCTCTCGAAGTCACGTGAGAGCAAAAAAAAAATCTTAGAAAACGTATATAATGATTGTACATAATATAATTAATAGTTGGAGAGAGATAGAAGATGTCGCATATATAAGGTGTGTATAGAAAGCGTGTTGTTCAGAGAAAAGTATCTTGGTATCAACTAAATTATTTATTTTTTAATTTCAAGGAGGATGCGATATGACGTTTTACGTAAATACGAGGAGGAGATTACCATGATTTTTTTTAAATGGAACGACTTTTTAAATGAAACTTTGACTTACCTTCAAAGTCATATGGAAAAATCTGTAATGAAAAATTCCTCGAAAAAAAGAAAAACTCAAAATTTCTTATTAAAAACCATATCGACTTTCTTCTTCCATAAACGCATTTTGCGAACATATCAAAAACGCTTTATCACGAATAATCACTCAAATGAATAATCATTAACGTCATTCATAGAGCCCTCCTTCTTCCACACCGAGCCAAGGACGTAACATTTTTTTCCACCGCATCGAGAGACGAGATATTATTCAAATAACCCGTTTCACCCCGTCGTACAAAGCGACAAACGTAGGGTATCTCAGATTGTAGCCGAGGCAGTTACTCAATTACCCGACCCCTGCCGGTGTAATTACCCCTGTGGTGGGGTCAAAGTGTCGGGCTCAAGAAGCGGTAGTAAAGCGAACCGCAGACTCGAACTCGACTCGAAAACTCCGACTCCTCGATCGGCCGCTTTAATCCGACGTGTGTCGTTCGACATCGCGCGGCCCCCCGCTGATGAGTTTCTAATAAAGCAATTAAGCGACCGGGTCCGAGTTATGGCGCGTGGACCGCGTCGTAAAACACGCTTCCGCACTCCCGTAAATCGATTTTCGGGCTGGGACGACCTTCTCACCCTTGCCGATTGGTTATCCCCGGTCAAGTATCGCTTCGATTTTACCGCCTTTTTGCAGATTCGATCGAAGGTTTACGGATAGGAAAAACAGGTCGAATAGGAATTTAGTATTAATTCGTTGT